ATCTATTTGTTTGTGACTCTCTCTTTTCTCAAAGAACTCATCATCAAAGAAACATGTATCACAACTTTTGATTACAAGACCATTGCATAAGTCGTAAGACTAGTAATCCTTAGCATGAGTGGGCAGCCAATGAAATTACATTTGAAGGTTTTGGGTTCAAGTTTACTTCGATTTTGTGAAAGGAACAAAACATGGGCTGAACATCCCAAAATTTGAGGTACTTAATGGAGGGAGAATGTCTCATGTATAGTTGGTATGGAGTTGAATTGTCTGCCTTGGTGGGAGTCCAATCAAATACATAAGTGGTGGTTAGAATACCATGCCCCCAAAATTCCAAACCAACTCGGGGTTACCCATCATACTCCTTACCATCTTTGTAAGTGTCATATTTCTCCTTTGTACAACCCCATTATGTTTAGGTTAATAAGGGGTATGGTAATTTGGTGTATGATTCCATTTTGAATAGAACAGTAATGAAAAGCATGAGAAGTATACTCTCCACCCCAGTCTAAAATCCCTACACCAAAGTTTGACACCGATCCAAGGTCATTTAAGTCCATTTATCAAAAGATCTAGGGTGTATATACTGTAGAAAGCTTAATTCTCATAATACATAAAAAATGGGGGTAAAAAGCTGCATAAACAGTAATTTTAGCAACCTTATTACTCCAATTTCTTCCTAACCTTATGGGGAATTGACATTGGTGTTTGGGTATTATTTTGACTACCAAGACATTGCCACAATATGCTCTTCATAAACCCTTCTTACTTAGGTTAAATATGGAAAAAATCAGATTTGAACTAAGTATCGAATCGATACACACATTGATGAAAACTGCCAGGGACTAATATCAAAATGAACCCTCTACTTCATCTCTATAACTCTAAGATTGCATTAACGACCATGATATACCCTTTTAGGAAACTAGTCGGTAAATCTACAATCTATATCTATTTGTTCCGGTGAATACACAAAACAAACCCATATCACCCTATTTCTGCTTCTCCTAGAGCATATAGCAAATAGAAAATATATCTTTTTACTCATCTCAAGCGTTATTGTTGACAAAATACCCCTTTACACTTCTTTAATTATTCTTTGAACCATGAGGTCTGAAGATTTATAAGCATGTTCCATATGAGAACAGTCTCTTACTTGCCAAAAGGGCAGTATGGAAATGTAAATCATTTCCTGTAGGCCATTTCTGGAGGAAATTCTACATCACCCTAGAGTGATGTGCAAGATAAAGATGACACAAGGCACATTGAAGATGTGATGAATATTCTAGATAAACAACAATTGGACAAGATTGTGAACCCCTAAATTGAAGTATTTGACAGCTATAAATATCCAACAGGAATACAAATAAAAGAACAAGAGAGAATGAGAAAGCAATAAGAAGAAACGACGCATAGCTCATATTATATGCTCTCTATCTACAATCCTGAGATGAATACATTTTTGATTGATTAAACATAGGCATTTCACTTCTCTGTTATATGAGATAGTAAACGTAATTAACAAGCCATTCATAGATACCTTAGAACCATTTGACCCTAGAAATAAATAAAGCTCTATGCAAAGACATCTCTCGTAAGATTCTTTTATAAGTTCCATATTGAGTGGTATCACTAGCTGAAAATGGGTAAAAACTCTAGAGAGAAATGAGTCTCTTTTCATGTCATGCAAATCACATAGACTTAGATCTCTCGCCAATATTTTGGAGATCTTTCCCAATGTGGTGACTATCCAACAATGGGGTTTGGTCTATTAGAATCCTAGCTTGCTGAAAATTTGGAGGGTATGTAGAAAGCTACAATCAAGGCAAATATTGACGGCCGTTTTCAGGCAAATATGCATTTAAAATCATAGATGTGGCTGATTGTGCAATTTTGATCCAATAAAAGGGTCATAACTCACCCAATTAGGGGAGTTTCTGAGCAATATTTAAGCCTGAATGTTAGTAAAATCAAGGCTGATCACTTTCTCATCATAAGGCGTCAAGAAACGGGACAAAAATTACTGAAAAATGATGAACAAGTGCATGGAAAATGGATTTTACTGAATCTTGCATTCCTGTGGTTCCAAAATACGAAAGCGCCTAAAACTTCCTTGATCCTGAAAGATTTTAGACAAATTTTGTTGCAAAATGATGGTGGAGGCTAAATCTACGATTTTGAGGCTACCGATCAATCATTTTGGCGCCGTAAAGACCCTCAAACCATAGGTATGGGTTAAGAGAAGTTTACGGGACTTGGAATGGAATTTTGCATATCGTGGGCCCCAAATTTTGTTCTTTTTTGTTTCGGATGGGACATAAAACTTGATTATTCACTGCTCTATCCCCACAAAGTTGGTCTGGTCCCCAATTTTTGTTCTTTTTGGTTCTGGATGGGACATAAAATTGATTATTCACCCTTCTTTCCCCCACAAAGTGGGTCGTCCACTGGAGTTCTAAACCTCAACTATAAATTGGAATTAGGCACTTCATTTTTAAACGTAGAGTTCATTTGTATTTGGCTAGGGTGTAAAGAGTTTGAAAGAGAGAGTTCCCTAACAAGAGAAAAGCTAGACAACTTTTTAGAGAGAAAAACCCTAAATTTACGTCTGGGCTCTCTAAGTTTTAAACAAAGAAAACCCATCACATCAAACCTCAAGCAAGTTGCAACTCGACCTAAGCCAAAGCTAGTGAGAGAGCATCAATGTTTCTCCCGGGATCCAAAAAGCCGGGTAGTCTAAGAGGTCATGACTAGGGAGATTCGAAACCCACCAAAATAATAAGCAATTTTCTTTGCTTAATAGACTCGTATTTCTAAATTTCTTGTGTCTTCTTGCTTTAACTTCGGAGACATTTATTACTTGAATTGTCTTAAGCACACACTGAAATTGGGCAAACAATGTGCGTAGCCCTGGTACTTGTGGTGTAAAAAGTTGTGGCATTATCTCTTGGCACATTCTGTGTAGCTCATTTTACGGCAGATTCCATCAGCTACTTTATGATGCAACCTGTTTTATATAGCCGCCTTGCGAAATGGTCATTACTCTTTGTTCGGATGTGTTTTGTAACATCAAAAGAGTTCTCATCATGGTTCTCTGAAGCCATGTAACACGTAGATGTTTTCATTGCAATATGATGGGGTTATACAATAGCTGTGGTATTCGAGGAAGATTGAAGCTTCACTGTGGTGATTAAAGTTTACCACAAGGATGGATTATTGATGGTGAAAATTGATGGAGTATCTTTCAATATCCAAGGTAGCTCGAGACAAATTCCATATATGAGGCTATTAAGGCTAAGGAAATAATATTACGTTATGTATGATATATTGATGTTCACTCTCTAATGCAAGGGCCATGAGACGAAGCCATATAGATATATGGTTTGCTAATCCATACTACTATATAAGGGAATTCCAAATGAAAAATATCTGACAATGTTGTATGCAAAAGATATACTAAAGTGACCTTCAGGCTAAATGGGAGATGTTGGAAATTGTAGCTTTTCAGACTCTTTTATTTAAGATATTAAATAATAATGGATATAAATGCAATGACTTGAATGAAAAATATCATAGCATTGACATAAAAAAAAACAAATTACACAGATCCAAAATGTATTAGGTATTTAGTGGCCTATTTAATGTTATTGGGAGTTTTAAGAGTCAGGTGACAACTTGTCTCCTAAGCTGACCTTATGTGATGAGTGAAGTTAGGAGTAACACTTTGAGTCTCAACTTCTATAGGTCATTAATTATTGTAATTAAATTTTATGAGGTGGGAACTCCAGAGTTAATTATAATAATTAATGGAAAAATTTAACATAAGGTTGCAACCTTATAATGTAGAACTACGGATGCACCTCAAAAATCCAGCGGGAAAGGTTGTTTTAATGTTGAAAAACCTTGTGATCGATCATCACGACATCTAGATATATGACTATGAAAATTAAAAAGATTTTGAGTCTAAAAAAAAGTGCATCTTACATCATATTATCTACACCGTCTATTTTCAAGATTTTCATATGTTTATAGATTTACTTGATTTTAACTATTTTTAAAATTTAAAATTTTCTAATTAAGTACAAAAATAGAGTTTGAGATAATGTCAAAAACATTTTGCATCAAAATGATATATTATCATAAAATTTGAAGGTGCACCCTAGTGAGATTGTTTACTGTCGCAACCGTAGGGAAACCACACCCATAATTAATACTTTATAATTTGTTCGTCATAAAAGAGGTCCCTTGGGAGATTTGACAAGCTGTCATTCTAACGGTTAAAACTCACATTAAGATCAAATCGGTTACTAAAGACGGAATAAAAAACTGATCTGTGTATGAACTTTTGTCTTTCACACGAACAGTATGATATATCTTGCATAGGCAAATATATTTATGTTCATTATACTTCGATATCTTGCCTCAATGGCCACAATCTCCTACACTTACTTGGAACTTTTTTAATTTTTTTTTTTTCCTAGACAAATGAATAAGTTCACTGACTTTGAAACTCGACTCGCCAACTCAAGATTCAAGAATTATCTGGCGAGTCCATACTTTTTATGTTTTTTTTTTTTTTTAAGGATACAGTTTCTTAGCCGTCAGCCAGCATATTGTACAAATGCCGGCTTGGCAATAAATATATATTTTAAATATAATTTAATCATAGTTTTTAGAGAATATATAATCTTTAATATGGAGATTATGAATATAAAAAATAAAAATAAAAATTTAAAAACTAAAAATAATAATTATATTAAAAAAACATTTGTATCATTAGTTATAATTATTTTTAAATGAACCACTTATTTGCATCCAATTTTAAGATGGATGCTTTATATTTAGACCGCCACATGAAACAAAAAAAAATTTTCTCTAAATATTGAATTCGACCTTTTATTTATTGCGGCCTACATGTGGTGAGAGAAGAGGTGGGGTGTGGGGTACCCATCGAAATATTATGAAGAGAGCATAGGGTAGTTTCGGTGAACAGGTGGCACTCAAGCACTTCACCCAATATGAATACTTAAAAACCCCAAAATTCTGATTCTGGAATGCAACCCTAATAAAATCGTGAGGCCAATCCAAAAAAATTAGAAGCTCTATGACCATGGAGAGCTCGCTACTGTGCAACGAGAGCTTCTCCTACAGCTGGTTAATCCACCACACAGCAGAACCCTCCTTTCACGCCCTCCTTTCGGAAGATGGACAGTTCTTTGAGATAGACCTTCAACTCCAACAAACCACCTCTTCTACCTTTTCCGATTTCCAGTTCCCGTGCGCGCAGGCTTTGAACATCGTTCCAGCGGACCAGCTCATCTACAATGGCTACGTCCTGCCTCTCCATCACTTACAACCCCAAAATTTAGACACTCTCAACCTCCCAATGACTCTGCACGCTCACCACACAAAATCAGCGGCCCAACCCCTCGGCATTTCTTTCTTCCAGTGGTGTCGTAGAACCTCCAAGGAGGTTCTTCTTAAATACTTCCTCCGATTCCTCAGGCGCTCACTTCATGGAAAGAGAAGGCGAGAATCAAATGAGAATGCCCAGGAAACGCATTCACAGAGCCCGACAGCGACCGAATCATCATCGCCATGGGATAGCATCTCACCCGATGAAGACGACTGTGGTCATTGGGTCATCGAGAACTCCATTGAAGCCGCCATTCTCCACTGCAAAGACTCCATTTGAATTCCCCACAAAACAACTCTCTAGCACCATAATAAATCTCTCTCTCTCTTTCTTTTTTTTTATTTTTCCTCTGTACGTTATTCGCTGTTTCAATAGTTTGCTGGTCTGAGTTTTCTGTCGGTTTATTGAGTGTCCAGAACAGAAGGAATTGCTCTGCACACATTTTGCTCTACCTTCCTTTTGTTGTAATGAAGATTCTCATCCCTTCCGTTTGTTGTGCAGTAGTAAAAGAGATTCTAATGAAGCATGTAAAAATATTTTACTCTTGCGGAATTGAGTTGGTGTAAGTCCGTGCTAGTGTCATGAGACTTTGTTTTCATGTGTAACGTACTTATCCTCGTCAGTTCTTGATTCTGGAATTTAGTGGACTGGTTGTCGGACTTAGAAAATATGAGTTGCAGTCGTTCACAGACAAGATGGGCCCATTACTTGTTGTATCTTATAGGCTGCTGGATGGTTCATGTCTGGTTTCATATAGAACTTGTACACAACATTCTTAACGGTGAGAACAATTCAAGGTAAAATAAAGAGTAATTTGCAAATGGAGGAAAAATTTTAAAAAATGCAATACAAAATGAGTCAATTTTGGCAAAAAATTATGAGAAAGGTCGTTTAGTTTAGAGTTCCTAAATTTCTCCCATAATGCCCCTTGGTCTGGGGATAATATTGTATCCCAGACCAGTTTTAATTTTTTTTTCTTTTTTTTGCTTGTTTGAGCCGTGTTCTATGTTTTGGGACAGTTGGCAACTAGTCCAAGGTTCCCCATCCTCGGACCACCCAGATTGTGGTGTTACAACACATTACAAGCAGTCTGAGGGGGCCATTCTCAGGTTGCTTAGATTGTTGTGTTATGCCACATTACAGGCCCTCTGAGGTCTTTATCCTCGGATCGCCTACAATATAATCGAACACCATAGTCTGGAGTATCCAAGGATGGGAGATCGGTAGATGGGGATCCATAGTTTGGGAGCTCCAAGGACAGGGATCCTGTTAATTAATGAGAGTGCGTAGGAGAGCATCGGCTTCCCAAGTGAACGGTTATGGTAACTCATCCCCAACTGCAAATCAGCATCGAAAATGTAACCACCATGACATCAACCAAGATCGTTGCGTTGAGTTCGATATGATCAACCATGGTTGGAAGTCATCCGGGGACAATAAGGCGCATATAAGTGCAGCCCCAAGCTCTTTGGATAGCATGACAACGTCATAGATACTTATAGCAGCCAGTATCCTTCACAAATGAGAGGCCAAAATGTACTTATCAGAGTTACTCGGATGGAAGCTGCTGCCTTGCATGTCCGACGATGACATTGGACATCTCGATATTCCTTTCAACGACTGCTCTCATTTTCTTAGATGCGTTAACATCCTTTGGCAGTCTAATCTTAACAGTCCTTTTTCCAAATCTTAGTTTAAGTTGCAAGGCTTGAGGTTTGAGGTTTAGGATCAATCTCTACCACCCATGTCGTATTGCAGGTGACATTCATTGGAATTTCATTCATCACCTCTCCTTCATCGTGGCTTTCAGGCACCGAAGACTCAGACATAAAATCCTTCAGGGTTGGGTGTAGTGGTAAGGCTAGTTGCGGATCTTCCTTTTCCAACCCGCTTCGTGCTTTGAAGTGTTACAATGTCTCTTGGGAAAGGCACGACTTCCCTCTGATGTCTCGGACATACTCGCAAGTGAGTTAATGTTGTATCCAAGCGTCTAAGAATTCTCTCTTCAACACTTCAGATTGCATTCGCTTGTCTTTTTTTTTGCTTATGTGTGTGTGTCATGACCCCGGCCCCTAAAGAATTGGAGGTGTGGCATATCGACTTGTCTTAATGCCTGAATTGGCGAACATCCACAGTGTCTTCCATGTGTCCCTGTTGCGAAAGTATTAGCCCGACCCATCCCATGTCTTGAGATATGAACCTATACCGATCAAAGAAGACCTAACATTCTTTGAGCTGCCAGTTTAGATACTAGATAGAAGGGTGCAAGTATTGCAGAATAAGGAAATCCCTCTAGTATGTATTTTGTGGCAGTACCATTCACGGGAAGAGTCTACTTGGGAATGGGAAGATGAGATCTGGGATAAGTACCCCCATTTGTTTGATTAGCAGAGGTATGATTTTGAGGACAAAGTCCTTTTTACGGTGGGGATGATGTAAGGACTTGGATTTTTTCGGCATATTGTAGTGCTTCGGCAAGTCATTGGCATGAGTGAGTTGATGCACAGACACTTTTGAGAGTGCTGACAGATCAGTGCATTGTTAAGCATGGGCAGACTATTGCACCACTAGGCGTGGATGGATTACGCGCAGAGGTGCGCGGATGGCTTGTGCACTTTGTGCGTGGCAGGTTTGGAGAGCAGTTAAGAGCGGACGGACGGTGCGCGCATCAAGAACGCATGAGTTCCCTACTGAGAGGGTATGCGAATGTGTGCGCCATTGAGCACGGGTGAGCATGCGAGAGAGCGTGGGTGGTTAATCGCGCAGTTGGGCGAAGATGGTTGAACGTGCGTTGAGGGCGCAGCGCGATGAGCGTGCCGCTGAGCGCGGGCGGTGTACGATAATCTAGGGAGCTCCTTCTCTGTCTCATGTTCCCTCTCTCCATGCATGTGTGTCAAGTGGCCAATGCTTGCTGTACCCACAATCATGATGTTTCCCATGCTTGTCTCTCATGCTTGTTGTACCCATAATCATGATGTCTCCCATCCTTGCTCTCTCTCTCCTAATGCATGCCTCTTGTCTGTTACTTATCCTTAGCATGTTGCCACCCCTCTTTGCTTATATATACCTCCTTTGCACCCATCCATTGGGTTTGCTCTCTCTCCTCTCTTTGCCTTTTCTCATCCATGTTCTCCTCCTCTTGCCTTAAGACTTTGAGCTTTGAGACCTTTCCTAGCCTACAGCCCTTCAGTTTGAACCCAACCTTGTGGAACTTGGTAGTTGAGGCAAAACTTGTGGATAACTTTGGAGTTTCATTTGGAAGTGGATCTGGTTTCCATATTTTTATGCTTTAAATTGATGCATGTTTGCTTATCTTATCAAAGTATGAGATTTAAGTATGAGTATGGGTGTGAAAATAGGTTTGGATGCATGTTACTGAAATCTTGCTAGAGGGGTACTCTGTTTTCTAGAACTGTGGCTTCAGTTTGAGAAATTGTTTGGGCATCCTATACATCTCTTTAAATCATGAAATTTTGTGGAAACGTAGATCATTTAGTCTATTTTATCATGGAGAAGACTCTTATTAATATCGTTTTTGGTTTAAAAGTTATTTACTATTTTTTGAAGCATGCCAGATTTGTGAAATTCAATTCTAAGGATTTAACGTGTTTTTGTGTAGAGCTTTACAATAATCAAAACATATCAGAATGAGGTCAAAACACTTTAATGAGTTTATTTTGAAAAGGGTTTTGGAATCATGATAAATTACCTGTGGTTTGAAAGTTATACCAATTTTTCTTTAAGTATGTCATCTTGGATTTTCTGCTGTGAAAACATGAATTTTGTTCAAGAACATCAAATAGTTTTGCAAACTTCAACCCAAATTTTGGGGTTGCCCCCTTCATAAAAGTTGTGTTTTCATGAGCCTAGATTGTTATAAAAGTTGTCTCGGGTCTAAATGATTTTTTTATCTCATGATATGCCTTTATAAGTGGACCTTGTTCAGTATGATAGATCAAACAAATAATTGGAAGATGTCTTTTGAGCTAATGAGCTTGAGGATATGTAATATGCCTTGGACATATTGTTGTTTCATATGAACCTATCTCTGTTATGATATGTGTGCATGAAAGCATGCTTTGTTATGAAATGAAGCATACTTTGTTATGGAATGAATACATGCTCCATTATGAAATGACTGCATGACAATGAGACATATTCTGTTATAAAATGAAACTATGTTCTGTTATGATAAGAATGCATATGGTAAGACATGCTCAGTTATGACATGAGTGCATATAGTAAGACATGCTTAGCTATGATATGAATGCATGTAGTAAGACATGCTTTGTTGTTATATGAATGCATGATAATGAGATATACTCCGTTATGATGAGACCCGTAGACATGCTTTGTTATGTTATAAATGCATGTAGTGAGACATGCTCTGTTATGATATGTGTACATGTTATGATACATGTTCTGTTGTGACATGTGTATATGATTTTGAGGCATGCTTTGTGACATGAGATATGCGATATTGTTGGAAGACATTTTTTATCATCATGGGTCCCGGTCAATAAAGCCTAGCAAACAGTGGAAGACATTTTTTCATCATCATGCTCTGGCAAGTTTCGTCACATTCCGACATGTTTAAGGCAGTGCAGATTGAGAAACAGTTTCGACAGAATCAACCTTTAGCACCCTGCAACGGATCCTATAACTAGATCTATATTTTCGATGCCTCAATTTACTGTGAGACCATCGCCATTGGATCCGACACTGTTGAAAACCCTCAGAGGTCAAATTTTAGCTTGAACAAATATTCCAGGAAGAAATTATAGGAAAAAGAGCGAAACAAGAGGAGCCGTACTCTACCAGTGCGACCACCCTATAACTCAACTCCATTAAAGGGGCAGTCACAACTAGTGAATTTTGGCTCTCATATCTCACCCTTCTCAAGTAGGATCAAGGCCAAATTTTGTGAGCATATTCTTCTCATCAAGACGAACATTTCGATATGTGGCACGTCTGGTGAAGACGCCTTAGCACGAAGAAACGCTAGAGAGAAGTTGCTGATCCATGAAAAAAGTGCAGGAAAATCAATAGTATTGTGCCTTGCTTGAGCAGCCAAATCACGCCGCTCGCGAGCCCGATCGACGTGAAACTAGTTCCATTGCATGCGTAAGGTCCATAGCCATCATTGATCGGAACTTCATGCATGATGAATGGTCGGATTTCTCACACGAAACCGATGAAGTGATTGCAAATTCTATCGTCGGAATTCCAGATTCCAGATTCCAACCAGAAGTCCAAACTTGCAAAACCTTCGTCCGACCATGGAATCGAGTTGCGTTTGTTACCCCACGATCATGACGACATGATTGGTGTAATCCAGCAAAGAAATCACAAAAAAAATCTAGGAACGAGCACACAATCGATCCAAAGTTTCAAGATTCATTCAAATTTCAAGTTACATGATCGGACCCTAAAAACACGATCCATGGCTCGAAGTTGGTATCAAATCGATCGCCATGCTGAGCCCTACAAGA